CAGCTTTAAAGTTATTGCAGAGCTCACAGAGGTTAACAGCTGTTGCATTAACCGACACGTGCCCTCTGAGTGCCCCGCATGTCGGAGCAGCATGCATCAGCACATCGGCCTGTGTTAATTGTAATCCCTAACATTATATTTAGCCTTCCAGGAGCTGCAGACGGGCTGTTTTCATCTCTGCCGACATTGCTCGTAAATCACACAGAGCCCCCCCCCCTCTCTGTGCTCGTACCCACAGGGCTGAGCAGCAGACTAATGATTTTTCAAACTGACGGGGGAAACACAAACAGGAGGGCATCTAAAGAATGTAACACAGAAAATTAAACAAAAACGCGGAGGAGGAGGATTCTTTCTTCATGACGTTGTTCCACAGTTCAGAGTCCCATCCAGACATGGCGTCCGAAAAAGAGATGGTGTTAAAAATTCCAAAACACGCTGCCAGCTCAAACTTTGCCAGAAACTTTGGTGTTGAGGCAAGAAGAAGAATTTACAAGCGTATTGTTTTCACTCTGTTTCGGTGCAGCAATGTGCTCCAAAAAGCCTCATTAATAAATCAGAAAGAGCCGCTCGACTCAGAGGTATCGATTCGATATTCAAGGCTCCCAGACTCTGTTAGACCTTTGCACCGCTGCAGACTGCAAACTGGAGTTTCATCAAAAGGAGTGATTCACAGTTTGTATTTAATCGAACCTCAACTAAAGTTATAGGTGGTGCAAACTCAGCTACACTTTCATCCCTCTTCAAAAGGTAATAAAAGGTTATATAAGACTTTTTGTTGACAAGCCAGCGATTGTAAAGATCCAAAATATCCCCGAAATAGAAATGATCTTCTCCCTCCTACGCGTGTGTCACTGCTGGAGCCTGTGAGCCGATACCTGACTCATGCGCTCATCGCTCTCCCTCATCATGACGGATCTGGAACATTTTTCGCGGGGGAGCCGTTCCCCCCTTACATCCAGGTCGAAAGCTCGCGGGGTTTTCTCTCGCCTCTGGATGATCTTCAGACGGAGCTGTGAAACCAGACCGAGTGGAAACAAAACCACAATGGAACAAACAATTGCTGCAGGCCTTATTTTCCCCCACGGCAAGCGCTGAAAGAAAGAAATGAGCTGCAAGCGGACGCTCGCCATACGCAGAGAAACAAGCCGACACCAGCTGTCTCAGAACTTTACAGACACACTGAACAGTTGTGCTTGTCATCGTTTTTATCAACACGCATGTCAATTGAAATTATGTCTGCAATCCTGAACTCCAATGCTGTTGCAGTTTTGTGAATTTTGAAACATCAGTGTGTCATGATGGATATCCTGCAGTAACAGCCAAACTTATCTGTAGTTCTCTGGAGGGTCCATTGAACTGAATTATTAGGCCAGTAATGTGTGACTGTGTACAATCATGCAGGACCTTCACTAAAGGCTGGATGTAGGGACAGGAAGGAGAAGAAAAGCAGGACCAAGGAGCTCTTAATGCTGCTGATCCAACACTTATGCACTGAGACTGTTTGATGACATTCATGGAGGGCCCGTTATTAGTCCAGCCGTGTGTATGGACGGACCTGGCCCCCTTTTGAGAACACAACGCTTCTGCATGTGCTTTGAATATGAGCGGGCTTATTTCCGTGCAGCATGTCACCTGCTGTGTGTTGTCGGATTGATCCAGAAGCTGCAAGCAGACATGCAGGAGGAGCGTGACAGACACGTATTGGGGTTTAATCTGAAACCTTTGCAAAACATGTAGACCTAAAAGAAATGTGTTGAAAAGGAGAACGCGATGAGACGACGACGCAAGAGAAGGATCGCCCCGGGTAAAGACGATGGAGAAGAAACAGAGATTGCTGTGGGGCAGCGGGATGCTGCTTCTATTCCTGTGCAGGACACAAGTGTGTGATTGAGGATCTCCGGACGAGGTGGAGGGGGAGGTGGAGGGGGAGGTGGTGGAGGTTTAATACTCAGAGTCTGCCAGAGAGGAATATACAGGAAAATACCACCCTGCTGCTTACTATACTGCTTGTTTACAATGCAGAGCAGGAAATAAACACGTTTACACAGTAACTGCTTTCATTTAGGTTCATGTATAGAAGAAACGCAGAGGAGGAGAAGGAGCATTTACATAAAAACGTTGACTTTTTTTTTTTTTTTTTTTTTTAAGATTAGGAGCACATTTCTTCAGTTTGAAAAGAAAGGAAGTCCTTATATATTTGATTTGCCGTATACCTTTCTATATATCGAGCATTCTTCGGTCTCATACTGAGGTTACCTTGTCAATGGCTGTCACCTGAATTAGTTTTCCTGCTTGTGAGCTATCCCCAAACTTCCAGAAATATCTCTGAATGAAAGAAGAGCAGAGAGCGGGAGAGGGAGGTGTGCTCGCAGGCTGGTTTATGGGGTTTCCACTGAGCAAACACGTTTCTATTTCTGCATCTCTTTCACCTTTTTTCTTCCTCTGAACGTCCCCACAGAGAATCCTCTGACATCCTCAAACAACCTTACTCTGGAAAACTTTTACACAGTTTCAAGGTTGCAGACAGTTTTTTTCCGACGTCGGAATAAAATCATGAGAGCAACAAACAAATTGTCTATTTGGTTTAAGGTGTTCTAAAACTCAGTCAGTGCCCAGTTATTATCGAGAACACGCGATGTTTGAAATGTATCCTAAAGAAAAGCTTTGAAGAAGTGTTTTGAATTCAAACTAAACGAGCGATACAAACTGCTGCATTTTCCCTTTCTGCTGCACTGTTAAGCGCTTCTTGATGCTTTCCACCCGGAGCATGATGGGAAATAATCTCAATAGAAATCTGAAGCCCTTTTTAACATCTCAGGAGGCAAGACATGACGTGCAAGGACGCCGCACTACAAATCAAAGATGGCAGACAAAGCAACGAATGTGAACGCCATGGCGACAGTTTCTTCATGCGCTCGTATGACATCAGAGAGTGGACAGCTCTTCCTGTTTGGCACCAGTCAGTCACATGATATAAACGTCATAACCCCGCCCACCAGGTCGAGGAATATGTCTCTGAACATCTCCTGCTGTGTTCACACAATTCTGACTTATTGCAAAACACTTGGATGAATTAAATGAATTTCCGGGCGCTTTGTGCATGTATGAAAAAGGGCTTTACAGCGAGAGCACTGTGTCGGTTAGCTTCAGTGAAAGTTTGGAGTTGGGAGGACGGAAATTCTTTGTAAGCATCCTGCTACAGTAGCTGAAACTGCTAGTGCAACTGATGGTGACGACTAAATCACTGCACCGTAAAACGCGGCACACTGCGGCCTTCAGCTGCTTCTCTTTCTGCTTCACTTGTTAGTCATTCTTTTAATGTTCCACCAGGAGGATGATGGGAAACATCCTGAACAGCAATCTGATTGTATTCATGTTAAAAGTGAGCCCGTGTGATCCCCAGTCTTTGCAGATTCCTGTTCTTCACGGTTTTTATAGTTCACGGTAGGTGCGACAAAGCTTCACACAGACCGCACTGTGATCACTCAGGGTGAAGGAGACGTCCCTCCTCTTCCTCCTCCCCCCTTCACCACATTCCTCCACCGTCTACTTTCCGTCCCGCTGCAGAGATATGACGGATGACTGTCCTCTCATCTGTCTTTGAACTTGACTGCCACACTGTCCCCATTCACAGCAGCATGCATGTCAGTATTGTGTTAACAGAATGTGTGTGTGTGTGTGTGAGTGTGAACGAAAAGGAAAAGGCCACCCACTCCTCACCTCGGGATCAGCGCTCCTGCAGCACCCCTCGCCACCGCCGACCGATCCCATAAATTAAATGTGACAGGCGTGAGGGGTCGAGGATGCCGTGGGTAGAGGGGGGGGGGGGAGGAGGAGTTTAAGACATGACACCAGCATGAAATAGATGCCGAAACACGCATGTCACACATCACACCCAGTGTCTGTCTGTCACTGAGGGCGACCGCGTGATGTCATGAACTCAAATCCCACGTCTACTTGTGATCCTCAAAGCCTGCCACAGGTTCACACAGCGGGGAAATGTTACTCTTCAGGAAGCTTTGAGTGGACAGCAAGAAGAGCAGGGGAGTTTTTTTAAGACAACAAAGCGATCCAAAAAAAACAACATATATTTAACTTCTGAAAATCTGAAGTCAGGCTTCTTGCCGACTTTGCTTATGGCCTGTTCATGTCCATTCACACGGGCCTGTTGACCCTCCATATTCATGTCTACAGTTCTATTTAAAGGAACATTACAATCAAACTTTTCACACAATAAGACTGATGGTCCTCTGTATTGAACTGCTGCTGTCACAGCCAATGAAAGACAGGAAACAAACATCTCACCCTTTAATTTTTTGCACCAACTTCAGCAAAGCAGCACACATCCAACTATTTCTTCTTCATGTTTTTTATGGATTCCCTCAATAACTAAATGCTCTGTCACTTCTTTAGGCCACGCACGCAAGCTAAAACCTTTGACTCGCAACACCAACACAGTAAGGAAATGTTGTGTCTCTTCTGTTGAATTTAGATCGATCAGGTAAAGCTTTGCAGGATAGCTCAGCTTGATCTCATTCGATTTGTTTTTGGAAAGAAAGAGAAAATGCATTCTCTCCAAAGGTCAGCAGGGGGCGCCTCCAAGGGTTGCAATCAAAATGGGACAGTAAGGATTCAAGTGCGACAATATACTCTGCTTCTCTTGAGTTATTCCGTCAGTCGACACGAATCTCATCGTTTCAAGTCTTCTTCAATTCAGAACGATGTTCACTTTTTTTTCACATAAATTAAAATAAAGGATAAAGCAGGGTATGTTTTTGAGATGGTGGCCGCCTTGTGATTGGCAAAGTGCTTCAAAGATCAACTACAATATAGGTGTATCCAAATATGGTCACTTCCTGCAACCCAAAATGATGATGGCAGAACCCCAAATGCCAAACTCAAGACTTTCAAATGGTGCCCCAAAACCCGAGAGGTGACATCACAGTGGTTTGGTCCACTTCTTCTGTAAAGTTCCTGTTGTTAAAGAGTTCCTGTCTTACCGTCAGAGCGGTGGATGCAGGTGTGCTGGTTGTCGCTGAGGAAGAAGCCGTCCGTGCACTGACACTCGTAGCTGCCCATGGTGTTGACGCACACCTGCTGGCATCCGCCATTGTTGTCCACACACTCGTCCACGTCTACGAGAGGACACAGAAAGAGAGAAGTTATCGAGCTCATTAGGCTTCATAAACAAACAAACATGTACCGGTTAAAGTTTATGTGCCGGGAAATGATTGATGAGCTGGATGACACGAGCGACAGGAATGTGAGGACCAAGCACACAGACATACAGAGAGTCGGACAGTACGACGGATACACAACTACACACACACACACACACACACACACACACACACAGGAACAGCCGTGTTTGATCCCTGTTAAAGTCAGTCGAGGGTGTTACATGTTTGCAGCTCACTTCAGCCCCATCAAAATGCCCCATTGGAAATTTACTGGCCTTTCAGCTGCACAGCGGGGTCCTATAAACACACTGTGCACCAGTAAGTCCACATAACACACACACACACACACACACACACACACACACACACACACACACACACACACACACAGAGCAGACAGGGTGACCTAACAGGCGTCTGATCCTGGCACTGTAGGTGGTTAAATCAAACTGCTGGCACCAGCTGGTAACAAGGGTCTGACAGCACGACGATCTGTACCCTGTGTGTGTGCCTGTTTCAGTGTGTGTGTGTGTGTGTGTGTGTGTGTGTGTGTGTGTGTGTGTGTGTGTGTGTGTGTGTGTGTGTGTGTGTGTGTGTGTGTGTGTGTGTGTGTGTGTGTGTGTGTGTGTGTGTGTATGACCAGAATGCCTTTGCATTGTGTTTAGTCAGAGGTTGTTAGGTCGACCTTGCAGACAGGTGACACAAACACAGACAGGCTGAAAGACCAAATCAGATATAGCCTCTAGAAAAAAACTTCAATTCCACCAAGATTTTTAATGAACTCTGCAGGTTATTTTATCTATCAAGCCAAGACAGAAGCAAATTCATGACAGTGTGAAACCGAAAGGGGAACTTTGATATTTTCAACATGGACCCTATTTTATATGTTTTGGAATAAATGTCTTAGATTGCTTCACCTTAAGCCACAAAACAGGCAGTAATGGCAGCAATGTAATCATTCAGGGTAAATTGGCCTCAAATTACGCCCACTAGAGGTGCTACATTTTTAGGTAAATGGTTTGCAGGTAAATGGGTCAAATGCATGCACTAAAAGTTCTTGTTTTTGTCACAGCCAGGCTCAGATTGTTATTCCTAAGTGTCTGACAACATTACAGAAAGGATCCCTGCAGAGTTAAGAGCTTTCAAAGGTCACATATTATGTAAAATCCACTTCACCATGTTCCATTAACTCTAATATGTGTCCCTACTCTGTCTAAAAACCCCCCAATGATGAGAAAAGTCCATCCTCTCTGTCTTCTGCCTGCTCCACTTTTCAGAAAAAGTGTGCTCAAACAGTCCGTTTGGAGATTTTCCCTTCATGACATCACAAAGGGCAGTAACCCCTCCCCCAGGTGGGTGACACTCCCACAGCTAGGTGTTTGTTCTGCCCTCTGAGTCTGTCTTCTCACCGTAAACAATAGGACATGGAGCGAGAAAGCCAGACACACCCAGGCCCTTCCAGAGAGGGGGCGTGGTCAGACACAGCTCATTTACATTTAAAGATACAGACACAGAAACAGCCTGTTCTGAGCAGGGCTGAAATAGAGGGGTTTATAGGCATGATCAAGTACAGGATCAGAGTGGATTTAGAACAAGAAACTTCACACACATGTTTTGAGGAGCTCGGAGACTTATTTAAACTGGTTGAAGAGGAGGAGAATATGTGACCTTTAATGCTTTTTGGAAAACAGAAGCCTTTAGATCCCTCCACCCACAGCCACCAGACTCAAAAGAATACTATGTTGGAGTAACCTGTACTATTAAAATCTAGGTGACTGTTTTAACTGACGCTGTGCAGCCTGAGGACATTAAGACGTACATCAGTCTGTAAATATCTCCTGTGTGCTCCCTCTCTCTCTCTGGAGTTATGGTGAAGGGGAGTCTGTGGTTTTACCTGGAAGCTCTCTACTTTTAGAAAGTTGTGTTGGGCTTGTTAAACCCCTTCAGGAGCTTTGTTAACAGTGTGTGCAGAGAGGGAGGGAATACTTTATGATCATGTCGACCCTGGTGGGACAGAGGAAGAGCAAGCTACTAACATTCTACCCTATACCTTTCTTTCCCTCTTAACTTTGTCCTTTACATTTCCTCCTACTAACGACGATTCATTTTGACTTTCTCTCGTCAATAAAATATGAAAAACAGGCACCAGTACTGATGTTTCTCATGTCACAGAGCTTTAGACTGACTTCAAATTAAGGGGAAGGGGAGGGAGGCTGTTTCGTTATTCTGTCTTACACAGATGTTAGAACCTCAGCCAAACACATGCAGACTGCTGAATCTACTGGATCATTTTATTGGCTGAGGTCTGCCTCAGTACCAACTGATACCAGCCTTTCAACAACACTGTTGCACAACTCTTAGTACCGTGAAGATCTGTATGCTGTCTGAGGGCTTCTAGTCCAACTTTCGACTGAAATCTTATGTAATTTACAGAGTTTATGAACCTCTGAATGCAGTCAGGGGCTCGACTAGACTTTAATTCTGCAGATTCTGGATGGAGGCTCGGCTGCAGGTTGCCATGTCCACTTTTCTTAGACCATTGTGTGATTGATATAGTGGGTAGTTTTTTTTAGATCCTCGTTCCAATATTCTAATATTTTGCTGCAATGAATAATAGGTCAAACACCTGTGGAGAGTTTTCCCTGATTGCTTCAACCTGCAGCAGTGACACAGACTGTGACAGCAGAACTGAACATTTCTGCAAAAGAATAGCTCAAATGCATCCACTAAAGGTTATAGATTTTGTCATTGTCGGCTCAGCTTGTTATTCTACGGCTGTAAAACACAACAGTAAGAACCACTTCACAGGTAGATCAAGTTTTAGGGGCTTTGTTGAAACAAAAACAGCCACAGTTCCCCTCAAAGCCTCCAGACTCTGTTGACAGACCGGGTCATTTTACCTCTAACACAGCTGACGCTGGTCTGATGCGGCTTTAAAAAGTTTGTTTGAAATTGTCACTAAACAGGAAGTTGTGATACAACTCAGAATTTACCTAAAAGAAACAAAAAACATACCGATGGAGGCAGCTGGAGACAAGCAGCTCATGAGTTGTGTGAGGAAAAAGTACTGATTTTGTCAATGGAGTCTCCGTGTTCAGAAAGCGATGTAACCACAGTTTCTTGATTTTTAAAAAGGGTCTCAGGCGTCAATAAATAAGGTCTATTTCTGGAACAGGTTCAAACATGCCAGGATTTTCCTTAAGGGAATTCGGTTGGTGTGATTTAGACTCATACAAAGCTCTTACTATTATCCAGGATTCCAGCTTTACCAAAAACCAGAGGAATTACCCAATCATGAATCACTACTTAACACAATGGACATGTTCTGGTGTAAACTGTGGGAAGTGCACAGCTGCAAATAAAGCAGAGTGTCCGTCATGTTCACCTAAAGTAACCCTGGAAGTACATCCTTCGTGTTGTCTTCATTTTGCCCTGGACTAGTGCGTCCATAAACCTTCAGCAGTTATGTATATATATTGTAATAAATTGTATCAGTGCTGCAGAAGTGTTCCGGCTGGTACACACAAACTGACAACACAGAACAAGCTGCGACAGAAAATAACTGCTGCGTCGAGTTTTGTCCGCTGCTGTCGGGCCAAAAAGTCGCACTCTTCACACCAAACTGATCGCAGCCTACAGGTAAATAGTTATTTATAGTAGTTAGTTAGCAGTTAAATGTGCAAGGGGCAATAACTCGAGCATATACCAATAGCAGGGTTGGACACTCGTTTATTAGTTTTCTGATTTTCGTAATGGCCTCGACTTGAAAAAATGTCCGAACATAAGGAGGCGATCGCCCTTGACTTGTTTGTTTTCCTTCATCACTTTCAGTTCACTTCTTGTTCAAAGAGTCGTTGACTGAGGGCCAACCAGAGAGATTTCTCTCCTCGACCAGTCAACGCCGATTACACATGTTGAATCGGGCAAAAAAGCCTCAGAGAAGCCTCGAGCAGTTCCACCACACCGACCAGAGCCCCCGACCCCCTGACGGTCAGCTCGGTGTCTGCCTACCTTTTAGGGTTCCCGGCTGAACTCTGAGCCTTGTTTTCATTTCACCTCCTAACACAGTTAAACACAAGTCATTCACACTGATGCACGTCATGTTCAGGCTGGACGATATAAAACATATGAAGCCATCTTTACGTTCAATAAATCTTAGCTAAAAGTTCTGCATACATCCCAGATTCATGCTGAACCCAAAGCATTTTATTAATGTCACTGTGTGAGTGTTTTTCACATATTTCAGTGACAGTCGTGAAAACATGTCTGTCTCTTGATTACAGTAAGCGAGCACTGCACAGATGAAAACTTGCAGTGAAATCTGATATATTATGCGGCTGCGTTTTGTCATATTTTTGGTGCGAATGATTCAGTTTTTGAGGAAAAAGTTTGACGACCTCTGTCTCTCTTTGTAATTAAACATTTTATACTAACAGAAACACATTTTTTTGCTCCCTTAATTGTTATTATTTTAGAACGGTTGGAGTGTGATGCATCAATGCGGTCTTCATAGCTCCATGCGAGCTTGTCAAACTTCACCTCAGTTTATCTCCCCCCCCCCCCCCTCCTCCTCCTCTCTCGTCACCCACTCCCCTTCAGATCTCACCATGGAGTGAAGAGGACGCATCAGAAGGAAAAATAAACTCAGCCGTTCACAGAGGGCATCGAACCGTCGACACATTGAGCCCAGCTGTGTCCACGACAAAACCAAATAAATAAAGTCAAAATCAAAAGGAAGCGAACGGGACGGCTCTTTAATCAGAGCTCAATTATGCAATCTTAAATCAATTAGTGCCCAAACTTGTTGACACAGTGCATCTGGGAGATGATGGAGCAACTTCCTGCCTGCTCACGCAAACTCTTTTTTTTTTCTTTTTCCTCCTAGTTCTCAAGAGTCTACATTTTTCCAGAGTAGCGTTTTGTCATTGAGGCTCGTTGAGAAACACCACATAAGT